ATGTCTGGGGGGGGGGCGCCTCCGGGCGGGGACTCGGGGGGAGGCGCAAGGTGGAAGTTTCGCCTACGGCGCGAAACATCCTTCCACCGGCCCTGCTTACGTGAAACAAACTGATGCTCTCAGTCCTGTTCCTTGTGAACATGTATCCATATCAGAGAAACTGGCACCAAAATTGGTATTAACTGGCAGTCACAACAGGAAGATGAAGGACTGAATGGGACACAGTAGAGCACCTCAGAGAATTTTCAGGCAGAGGAGGCTCTAAAGACACATTGACAATACAAAAACCTGTTCCAAATCAGCTCTTAACATTCCCTTAAGGGCTGCTTTTGACTCTGGAGGGAGACTGTTTCATTACTTGGAGTGAAAGGAAGGTCTGAAATGGTTCTGGGAGTTTGGGTATAATTAATAAGAAGTAATTTAAACACAATTATTCTCCTTCTTCCATTCTCATCTATCTTCACCTACTTAGCCCTCATGACATATCTACCTCCGTAACTTTTATACTTTTGTTTTCTGTGAACTGCACCTTTAAATTTCTGAATACTCTCCTTGTGTGTGGAGTTCAGGAGCCATTTTGTTCTCAGAGTTCAGTGCAGACTGTTACAGAAGAGAGACAAACTGTGCTCTCTCCATTGACTTCTGTTTTTTCTTGCTTTGCTGTTTCTTTTAACGTAAGGAAGAATTGTGCAGGCTGTGTGTGAGGAGACATTGCAGCCTTACCTGTTGGGGAGTGATTTCTCTGCATGTACGAAGCAGGATATGGTGCAGCCCGATGCCCTTGAAGGGCTGCATAATGCTCACAGCCATGGTGGGAATGCGGGGCAGGCAGAGACAAAGCTCCTCCATACTGATAATTAGAGTTTCCTGCTGCACACACTGCATCTGGATTGGAAATCAACCAGCCACCTACTGTGAGGGAAAAGGAAGAAACAGCAAGCAAAATTAATAAAAATTTAATAAGGAAAGTAACCAGGCTTCCTAAAAATGTACCCTGCCAGATCACAAAAATTCCAGACAGTAGGAAACCTGCTTGTTGCCTGGCGTTTGTTTTGTACCAAAGAATGAGTTCCAAGCCACAAAAAAGACATTTAGACACCAGATAACAATATCGCTAATGCTTAGATAGCATCTTCATCCCAAATGGTCCCCCAACACTTAACAAATTTTAGAAAGGAAGCCATTCACTCCCCCCAGTGAAATGCAACCTAGGGTGGAGCATGGCAGCTTATCAGCAAAGAGCAATGCTACACAACAGCTTAAGGTAGGACGTGAAGAATACTACAGTATTCAAATGAAGGGGGGCAGATTTAGGAAAACAAAGTTTGTTACCTAGAGGTGTAATTTGCCCTTACTCTTATAAAAAGTACCATGGGATCTTTAATAAGCACAAACGGTCAGGACCTCAGATTACCCTTTTATTCAAAAGATGATAGCAAGGTACCAACCGCTAGCAAGGTCTGCCAAGATTACAGAGCAAGAGATCTTGGCTATTAACCTGGCACTTTCACGTATTGATTGTCCACTCAGATTTTAGAGGGGTGTAAAACACTTGCTAATGCAGAGATTTTTTCATACCCTGGAGTTCAAACAGCACAAGCAGAAGCATGTACCCTATGTTAGTTGTACATTATGTGTTATGAGCAAAATTCAGACAGGCTACAAATCAAATTTAATCCCCAGGGCCAGGGCACACATCAGGAGTTGGGTTTCATTTGTCTTTTTTTTTAAATGACACCATTCATGTCATTATAATTAACAGGCAATTTAGTTTTACTCAAACAAATCAATATCTATACTGAATAGAGTTGTCTTCTAGGATCGCTTCCCGACCCCTCACTCCAACTTTCACTTCCCCCAAAAGCCCCAAAGACGACTCATCTATTCCTCTGTCCCAGGGGAGCTGGATGTGCCTCCTTCTGGAATCCACCCAAACTGCACCTCAGTTTGGCATTTCTCTAAAGAAAAATGTAACTTGACGCCTTTACACCTATCCACAATGCTGACCTCACTGCCTCTCAAGCAATTCCATATGCTGCACACCCATGGGCTACGTATTCTGTAACACTCACCATGTGCTGTACATACAGATGCCATAGTTGCCAGCTACCCATACGTATTGTAAGGGAGACAGCAAACCTAGGGCCTTCTGGCACACAAACAGAAGTACCTATTACTGGTACTGAAATAAAGAGGCTCTTCTTCAACCAGACTGAAGTAGAAGAGTTTTATTCTGTAGGCCTCAGGACAGTGGAGGGCCGTGATGCACAAACACCCAGTATTAATACTGAGCAGATAGCTGTGACTTTCTTGTGAACTACTGAGCAAATTAAATATCTTATTGTTTGCTATGGTTGGGACCTCATAATGCAATCGTTCATGGGCATTTGTACAAACTGAATTTCATTCGTGAACAAAACAAGTAAGATGGGCAATCCAAAGTTCATTTAAAGGTGGGAATAGAATTGCCAGTGTGACTGATTATAAAGTACATGGTGGCAATTAGAAATAATAATGGGAAATGAAATCAAAATAAATAGTTTGTGGAACGGGCAAGAAGCCAAAAAAGTCAGTAAAAATGTTTCAGAGAAAAATCTGGAAAGAAAACATTTTTCAAATATCAGAGTTTATGAATGGAAGAAAAGCCAAAATTTCAATAAAACAAGAACAACCTCTCCTCCTATTTTTTATGAATCACTCGTCCAGCGATAATGATGGGACATTTGTAGGGATAACAAGAGTTTCCAGAGTTATAATACTAAACAAACAAAAAAAGAACACAGCTTTGAAAAGGTTATAAGTCTCAAACTGCCAGGCTCAAGCAAACCTCTAAATATCGGGGATTATAAAGAAAATGTCCTTGTAGGTAGATTATCCCGTAGTTGCCTACTACATGGTTTCTTGAACCTCCCTCTTACGTATTTATAGTATTGGCTTCCATCAGTGACAGGATTCTACATTGGATAAGAACAGTGGCCATCTAGTCTAGCACAGCCTATGTCCACAATACCTATTATATTACATAATACTTCAAGTTCCCATGAATAAAATGATGTTGGGAAACCTTACGGTGAGAATATGTCATATGTTGACCTTCCAAAACATTTTCAGGAGTATCCTTGGGATGGTTTCTGAAAGAGAAAATAATGAGTGGTTATGTTGTGCTGTATTCAAAAGAAGGTGAAAGGGTTAGGGAAATGGAAATTGAAAAAAAATAAAAACTGAAAATTGTTCAATTTTAGGTTTCATCAACTGAAAAGACAAAGGAAAATGAAGACAAAAGAAATTCCACCATCTTCAGCTGATCGCTAGAGAACTGTAGAAAGCTCTGTACTATGCGAGATGTGTAGTCAAGAAGGCAGGAGCCCTTGCCTCATTCCATGTGCAACAATGTTCCCGGCTCTGTCATCTTCGGGGATTGAACCCTAGCGCTCTGGATCCAAGTACATGAGCCTTTTTTGCTTGAGTGAAAGGACCAAGGCCATTAACTTCAAGGCAGTAGTAGACTCAAACCTCTATACATGGTCCAGCCACCAGAGGGGAACAAAGAGCCATATTTTGTTAGCATGGGTGGCCCATACAAACCATTTAAAGATGACAAATAAATACACTATTATTTTCTGACAGTGCATGTCTCTCTAACTTCTTAAATACAGTGATTTCCTATGGAGACTATTTTAATGATATGGGTCACACTTTACCATAAAGGTATAGAAATTACAGTGTAGTAACATTGCAATTTCACTGTGGTTATGTTGATATCTGTGGTTACTACTTATTCATATAACTAGATAGTAACATGAAATGAGAATATATGAGAATAATTAAAGCATAAATACAATGGAGCTAACATACCTAAAATCTACCACTATATGTATGAAATGCAACACTGAAGGGTTAATAAGTACAAACAGTCAGCATGTAAAATTTCTATTCCTATGAATTAGTGGTAATTATATACCGAAAAGCAAAACCAAAGATAACCATAATGTAACTATACTGTAATTATAGTAGTCTTATTTATAGTGACCAATAAATGATATTTCAGCATTTTGTATCAGCAATGCACTCACTCATGTAAGACCAAAATGTGATGACAAATAACGTGGTGTAAATCTGGCATTAACACCACTGACCTCAATGGAGTGACTCTGGATTTATAGCAGTGGAAAGGAGGTCAGGATTTGCCCCTTATCTTTCTCAGAGTATTGTTACCATTTTAACTGTAACAGCAGCAAAAGTCATCAAGCTGAGTAAAAGCCGAACTCACCTTTCCTTTGCATCCAGGAAGGCTTTGGCAAAGGGATTATACTTGATTTTGAGAGCTGTTATCTTGGGTTTACAAAAAACAAGGCATGTTAGTGAAGATCATTTTAACAGAGACTTGACATAGCATTGTCCAGACTCAACAGAATGGACTGAGTTCCGCCTCAGTTACTGAAACAAAAGACAGGCATTGTATTTACCATGCAGCTATATGTCAGCCAGGTGCATTGTGTGGGAGCATTGCTCTCCTCTGAAGCATCTGACACTGGTCACTGCCAAAGGCCGGAAACCAGAACTGATGGACCAATGGTCTGATCCAGTATGGCAAATTCGGTATTACTGTGAATATTTCTCCCAAAGCTGCTGAATTGCATAGAAATATGTATAATATCCTGTAGTGACATTAACTAGGAAAAAAGGGACAAGGGCCACCAACCCTCATGCTTCAGGGCACAGCCTGATTACAGTTTGGGGTCAGGAAGAAATTTCCCCATATTATAGTACAATAGTCTAGATGCATTATAGGAGGAGTGGAGGGGTTATACTTTCCCCTGAAATATCCAGCACTGGCCAGTGTTAGAGACAGATACTGGACAAGACAGAAAGTCAGTCTGTTCCAGCATGGTAAGGGGATGGGATACTGGTACAGATAGACCAATCTAGTACGGCAGCAGACAGAATACCAGACTAGCCTGACCATTCATCTGTCCTAGTACTGCAGTCAAATTCTAGACAAGGTGGACAAAGGGTATGTTTTGTTCCAGCAAGGAGACAGAGTATTCGATTAGATGGGCCCTCAATCCGCTCTGGACTGACAGGGGGACAGGATACTGGATTATTTTCACCATTGGTGTGTGCTGATCTGGCAGGTCTTAGGCTTTTAATATTTCTCATCTGTGATGACCAAATTGTGTGACATTATTACCCACCTACCTCTTCATTTTGATAAGCAGTGACAGCTATGAACTGAGTCTCTGGAAAGGAGCAGTTCATCACCATCCTGTGTGGGCCTCCCACACGAACAATGTGAACCTGAGGCTCATATTTATGCAAGGAATTCAGCATTATCTGCAAAAAACAAGAAGGAAGAGAGATGGAATTAATAGGCAGCAAGTTTAAAACAAACCAAAGGAAGTATTTCTTCACACTGTGTACAGTCCACCTGTGGAACTCCTTGCCAGAGGATGTTGTGAAGGCCAAGACTATAACAGGGTTCAAAAAAGAACTAGATACGTTCATGGAGGATAGGTCCATCAATGGCTATGAGCCAGGACGGGTAGTGTCCCTAGCCGCTGTTTGCCAGAAGCTGGGACTAGATGATAGGGGATGGATCACTTGATAATTGCCCTATTCTGTTCATTCCCTCTGGGGCACCTGGCATTGGCCACTGTCAGAAGACAGGATCTGGGCTAGATGGACCTTTGGTCTGATCCAGTATGGCCATTCTTATGGACTGTCACAGCTACATCAGTGATACCCAGCCTGAAATGCCTGAAGAGCTATGTTTGTCACCAAACAGAGCCACAGAGGAATTACGGTTTCAGAGTAGCAGCTGTGTTAGTCTGTATCCGCAAAAAGAACAGGAGTACTTGTGGCCCCTTAGAGTAACAAATTTATTTGAGCGTAAGCTTTCGTGGGCTACAGCCCACTTCATCAGATGCATCCGAACAAGTGGGCTGTAGCCCACGAAAGCTTATGCTCAAATAAATTTGTTAGTCTCTAAGGTGCCACGAGTACTCCTGTTCTTTTAGAGGAATTACGAGCAACGACCTGACCTTGGCCTGTGGTATTTGCATCGTGTCATTGATACTTGTTGTCAGTCCCATATTGAGGGGACATCATGTACCAACATCACGGTGCAACCCCAATGTCAGCAGAGCTCTCCAGGGTCATCCTTTCTGTGATTCCACACTACACTCTGTCCCCTCCTCAATTCCTGGTTGCTGAAAGAGAGAGAGAAGGATTTCTCTTTTCCTCCCTCCATTCTAGCTGCGGGTATGGACAGGGACAGACTCCAGCTGAATTACATTAGATGCTTCTGATGCAGCAGTAAATATTTATATTATGATAGTGCCCAAAGAAGACCCCAGTTAGAATTGAGGCACAACTGTGCTGGAAGCTGTACAAACAGATGAGACAATCCCCACCCAGAGGTGCTTATGGTCTAAAAAGCACTGGGACCATGATCTTTTTCTGTGTTTTGCACAGTGCTGAACAAACCAGGGGTCCTCAGTGAACAATACAATTATTTGTTATTATAAAATACCTTCCTCCAAGTATCACATTTTGATTAAGAACGAAGAAGGGGAAGCAGAGCCCCAGACAGGGGGCATGACTTGCCTAAACACCCAGATTTGTTTGTCTTTGGCTCTGCTACTGACACAGTGTATGACCTTGGGCAAACCATGTCACCTGTCTATGCATCTGTTTCCCCATCCATAAAATGGGGATAAACAATTCCCTACCTCATAAGAGTGCTCTGAAGCTAAATTTTAAAGCTTGTGAGGTGCCTAGGTGAGCATAATAGAAATGATGACAAACAAATTAGAAATACTACAATAAGGAGATACTATTCAGGACTAAGGTTAAAGTAAAGAAAGTATTTCTAGGTTTGGCAGAACTCAATTTTTTATACATATATATAATTTTGACAGATAATATTGATGTTTATTTTTAAGCATTTTTTCTATTTTTGTATATATAAAAGTTCACAGTTGCACAAAATTATGGGCATGACAGATAACGGGGGGTGGGTCAGATGATTATTATTTAATGACAGTGGATGTTGAGATTTGAAAAATTAAAGCTTTATAATTGTTAAAACACAATTGTCAACATCACGTCAAGCTATACTTAAATCAATATCCTTAAATCAAACTCTAATATGTTCTCAAGCAGCATTTTTCTTACTTTGCCTATCTGTACATTTTGCAAAAAGAAGAACAGGAGTACTTGTGGCACCTTAGAGACTAACAAATTTATTAGAGCATAAGTACATTTTGATTATCATTGATAGAAATATTTTTTGTCGGCTTGTGTGTATATATAGTAAAATTGACATTTACTGATAAAAATCAAATCCTTCCAAGCCTAAATATTTACTTGAAAGGAATTGACTCCTGGCTGACAAGTAACATCCAATATAGGAGTTTTGTACAAAACAAATAAACAAACAAAAGATCTTGTGCAATATTTTACTTTCAGATACATCTTTAAAAAAAAAAACAGTCCAAACCAATTTTTCTGTTTGTATTTTTAAGGAGCTCAAAGTGAATGTCACTTATTTCTAGTACATGCAGTTTCCTTCCAAAGGCCAAATCTGACTCAATAGAATATTGATAATTATCATGAGGCAGAAGCAGACATAGTAATTATTTCATTTAGGAGCAGCCTTTTATTCTGGTATCTGACTCTTGCCAACATTCCACTTATACCAAACAACATGGGGGAAAACAACAAAAACCTAATACCCACAACCATTTTTTCCCCTTTCTCTAAAGTTCTATGTAAAAAACCCAGCACACAAGACAAACTATGAAAAGCCCCCGATGATTAAGTAACCCACAGCACTCTCTGTCTCTCTAACATCAAGAAGTCCATTAAAATCTGAAAGTGCCAATTAAGACCTGTTTATTCCTGTTTACGTTTGGGCTCCAGAGAATAATTGGCATCTGTGGGTGAAGAGGGCCCCTCTAATTGCATAAATGCACCCTTGATATTTCTTGATTGGTAGGTGCTTGCGATGGAAGACAAGAGGTGTATGGGAAACATCGTGCTGTACCTGCCCGCTTCCATTGAGCTTGTTGGTAAGTTTCACTTTGCTGAAGGAAACAGAGGCTTTCATCCAGTGTGCCCCGAAGTTGGGAGAGTCTGGGTGAATGTAGACGCAGCTGTGGTTTGGTGGCTCTGGTTTCCCAGCAGGCACCCATTCACCGTTCACGTACTTCCAGCGGTGGCCGTCAGTCGGGGCAAAGTCCAACAGGAAGGAGTACATGGCGTTGGGATCCAAACCTGACACACTGATCTTTAAAACCGGGAACATCCGTCTGTAGTGGAAACAGAAGGCAGGAGTGGGAAAAGCATCATTAGTCCTGATATAAAAGAGGCTTGTTACTATGTTTCTGCAAAGACGCTCCCTGAGTTGCTCAAAAAATAAATTACCCTCGCTTTGGCTGAACCAGAGATAATGTTAAAGGGCTACCATCACTTTGTTTTCATTTCCTGTTGATCAGTCAGAAGCAGTCACAAAATGCTTTCATGTTTCACCTGAAATATGGAATTTCACCCCAAAAATCACCCTGATTGATGGGACCAGGACTGATAATATTGTCCTGCACTAGTCACATTCTTAGGGCTATCAACTTTATTCCACTGGAGAGGTGGATGGAAATCCCTATGCCACAGTAGTACAGAACTTGAATACAGTGAGAATTCAAATCTTACAATTGTAAGATCTTAATTTCTAGAAAACTATTAAAAAAATCATTCACACATCCCCACTTTTATCCCTGACCAACCAATGGGGAGCCATAACTCTGACCATAAACAAGATATATCAACACAGGCAGATTTAAATTCTTCCTTCACTACATAGACATTTTGGAAAAATCACTAAGATGGGAGGGGTTCTTCAATCTAGCAGAGAAAGGTGTAACACGATCCAATGGCTGGAAGTTGAAGCTAGACAAATTCAGATTGGAAATAAGGTGTACATCTTTAATGGTGAGAGTAATTAACCATTGGAACAATTGACCAAGGGTCGTGGTGGATTCTCCATCACTGACAGATTTTTAAATCAAGACTGGATGTTTTTATAAAACATCTGCTCTAGGAATTATTTGGGGGAAGTTCTATGGCCTGCGTTATACTTGAGGTCAGACTAGATACTCAAAATGGTCTTTCTGGCCTTGGAATCTATTAATTATATAGGACGCTTGACGGCGCATATGGAACCATACATACATAAGAACAGCCTCACTGGGTCAGACCAAAGGTCCATTCAGCCCAGCATCCTGTCTTCAAACAGTGGCCAATGCCAGGTGCCCCAGAGGGAATGAACAGAACAGGTAATCATCAAGTGATCCATTCCTTGTTGCCCATTCCCAGCTTCTGGCAAACAGAGGCTAGGGACACGATCCCTGCCCATCCTGGCTAATAGTCATTGATGGACCTATCCTCCATGAATTTATCTAGTTCTTTTTTGAAGTCTTGGCCTTCACAACATCCTCTGGCAAGGAGTTCCACAGGTTGACTGTGCATTGTGAGAAAAAATACTTCCTAGCCTCTGTTTGCCAGAAGCGAGGGACACCATCCCTGCCCATCCTGGCTAATAGCCATTGATGGACCTATCCTCCGTGAACTTACCTAGTTCTTTTTTGAATCCTGTTATATGGAATAAGGAAAGGCTTTAAAGCCACCTGCATATCTACATGGTTGATTAATGTGCACAGTGAATTAGGAAGACCATTTCAATTAGAGCCTGATCCAAAGCTCATTGAAGTCAATGGAAAGACTCCCATTGACATTGGTGGGCTTTGGACAGGCCTTTAGTGCACAAAAATGCACACTTGTTGTGTGTGCATCTTGAGCGGGAATTCGTTCTACTGATGTCTAGCAAATAGCTTTGCATCGTAGAATTTTTATTTTCTTGTTTTGTGTGTGGAGATTGTTTTGTTTTTTTACATTGTATACATCATACAGTTTTATTTATACACACACACACACACACACACACACACAGAGTATCCATGTTGTAAATAAGCCTACTCTTGCCATCGGTCCCCCCAGCACATATTGCCCCCTTGGTTTCACCACAGCCCCACTCATTCACATCACTCCCCACACCTACATTGTCACTCCCCTTTGAGGCCCACACTTCTCTCATTCAGCTTGTAAGCTATGAGATGCGCCAACTGTTAGCCGTGTCAGTGATACATAGCAACATTTAAAAGCTGCAGGTGGTAGGCAAGCAGGGAGGCTGTGGTAGGGGGAGGGGCTGTGCATGGAGCATGTTGGAGAGTAAGGCTGGGGGTGATTGGGAGAGTGCAGGGATGGGGAAAAGAGGGTTTGGGGGCAGCACTCTGGCCTGTCCATGGAAAAGTGGCCTGATGGCGGAGTGCTGTTCTGAAAATGATCAGGAGGGGAAGTGAGTCTGGGGGTAGACGGTTGGAGGTGAGAACTCAAGTTTCTGTAGGGATAATAACAAGGAGTCCGGTGGCACCTACTGATAGCTGTCCATGGGAATGACTCTCCATGTTGATCCATATTAATTGAAAACCTGGGAAAGGCACACAACCTCCTCCCCTCCACCCCCAGTTTACTTTGAGGAAAGGTTGCTAGACCAATATGTCCTACCACTGCAAACCTTAGAAAGCAGGCAGTGAGGTTGAAAACGGGCTGCAAACTCTGCTTTGTTATGTTTAGGAAAAGCTGTACGTCAGGGTGATCTATGGGGTTAGCGGGAGGGGTTCTCCCATTGCTGTAGTAAATTCACCTCCCTAATAAGCAGTAGCTAGATCGATAGAAGAATTCTTCTGTCGACCTAGCACTGTTTGCACCAGTGGTTAGGTCAGCATAGCTGCACCTCTCAGGCATGGGGATTTTTCACATCCCTGAGAGATGCAGCTATGCCAATGTAAGTTTTCAACATAGACCAGCCCTTAGTCTCTCTGTGCCTCAGTTTCCCAGCTATAAAATGAGGATGATAGCACTTCCCTACCTCACAGGGGTGATGTGAAGATAAATGCTTTAGCAATTCTGAGACACTCAGATACTACAGTGATGTGGGGGCTATACCTTAGATAAAACTTTTGAAATCAGGAGTTAAGTTATGGTTAGGACACGGAAACAGCTCTAACATAATTAGCAACAGAATAAAAACAGTGGTGAATCTCACTGCATCAGCATCACAGCTCAGCTGCGTTTCATACTATCGTGAACCTAGGATTAAGTGATGTATCGGTTTAATAACTGGTATGTCCAGCACTTCTTGTGGCAATCAGAGTGCAGACGCCACAAGGAGAGAACAGATGGATTAAACCCCAGAAACGAACGGTTGATTTAACTCATTGTAGACAATGATATTGTACTATAAAAACATATCGAGTACATACGCTCAAATAAATGTGTTAGTCTTGAAGGTGCCACAAGGACTCCTGTTCCTTTTGCGGATACAGACTAACACGGTGGCTGCTCTGTACCATATCGAGTAAGGTCTTTTATGAAAGCTTGCAATGTTCTGAACTTGATGGTCATTAGGAGATGTGTACACACCAAGATTAGGAATGTATGTATGTGTATAGATAGAAAGTTGCAAATTGTAACTGTGATGCAACTTTAGCATCACCTTACAATAGGTGAAGTAATCAGGCAGGGAGGGGCTACCTCCCGAGCCAGTTGTGTACAAGAATCCAGCCATTGTCCAGCCCAGAAAAGGACAATGGTGAACCATTAAAGCTAATGGAAAGACTTTGAGACAACTGGAGACAGGGGAGCGAGAACAACGTGTATAGTGGGGATGCTGAGAGCCATTGAACCAAAAAGTGTAAACCCGGTGTATGACGGGAACCACTTCAACCCTGGGGTGCTGCTGCACCCCCAGCACCCCTAGTTCTACCACCTAAGACTGGGGATTTCCCCAGTCTGAGTAACCATGAATTACCTAGTCTGAAAGAAAAAATGGGGAGTGGGGGGGAAGGGAAGCCTTTCAAAAAGGAGGCTTGAAAATGAATTTTTCATCCAGAAACAGGGACAGTTGGTTGGCAGGGGCTGTCCATGAAACACTGGATGCTCCTTATGGTTAGGGTGTACACTGGGAAACTGTTCCGAGGCACAAGGAATCTTGTATTAGACAAGGGATTTTATCTAATATGGAAATGGAAAGCCTGAGATTGCATCTTTCTGTTTATTTTCTGCATAACATGGATGTTTGTTTCCCTTCCTCCTTCATCTTTGGATCTGTGGCTTTTCTATTAAATAAACCTTTTGTTTAGTTTTACCCCAAACAAGTCTACGATGTGCAAACCACGTGGAGTGTGCGTGCCAAAGTAAACTGCTGTCTGAGGGCTGGTTTCATGCCTTCCGCGGGGAGGAGCCAGAGGGGAAAGCCCAAGTGCCTGGAATTCATGAAGGATGGATTTGGGGAGTCTCAGGACTGGAAGGACTGTTCATGTCACCCTGCGGGGAGGAACGAGGCTGGTGGAAGCCAGGGTGAGACCTTGTTCTTGTGGGCAGGCAACTGGTGTCAGGGGTCTGAGCCATCGCATCACAGCATAAAGGCACCCCAGGGTACAGGGCAGGCAGTGACAGAACTTCTTCCTGGGCTGTGATATCCCCAAAACATCACATGTATCCACCACTAACTCCTGTGATTCTCTATATCCTGCTATGCCAGTTACATTATTATAACGGAGCACCACATTGTATCGGATACATATATCAGCTATAGTATTAAAGTCTCTAATTCTGACTTGATAGTCACTGTGGGCACTTTGAGTCACTATGATTCAAGCACATTTGGGGAAACATCAGTGCCTACTGGAGACGAATCTATTAGAAATTGTTAAATTGTACATGTTATACTTGTGCTGCTAAGTCCTAAACTTTAAGGCTATGCAGCCTTACATTTTTCTGGTTCTATTCGTAGTGCTGCCTTCGGTTTGGTAGATGACTTTGGCCAAGTCGCTTCTCCACACTGAGCCTCTGTTTCCCCAGATAATAACACTTACTGATTTGATAGTGTGTTGTCAGGATTAATTCCTGGGCGTTCATAAAGCTCTTAGGATGGGATTTTCAAAATTGCTCTGCATTCCTCCCTTTGAAGTCAATGGGGGTTTTAACATAAACTTCAATGGGGGCAGGGTTAGGCCAGTGTCATGAACTTTTGACACTCCCACCCGAAAAGCCCAACACAAGACTTTTCTTGTTATTTGGGAGTCCCTAGCCTGCAAAAGGCCATGAGTCATAGAAAAAAAGAGCTCCACCAGGTCCTACTTTGTCTGTCCCCTAGGACTCTGCAGGGCATTGTCTATATTTCCCCAGCTTGACCTCTGGTTTTAATTAAAATATACTTTTAGAAATTCAAAGAGAGGCCTTTTTACAAAAGCCTACATGATTTTATAGTAACAGCCCCAAACCCTCTAACAACATAACTGTGCTTAGGGCTATAAAACCAGAGACTATTGTACTTTGACTTATTTATAAGGCAACTTACATTTTCTATTATAGAAAGGACCCAGTCCGATGTTAGTGACAGCTCTGGGGATAATGACACTGCTTTGCCTTTGTAAAGCATGTTCAGCCCTACAGACGAAAAGCTACTATCTAAGCACTGAGTATCGTTATAATAAGCAGTGTTCAGAGGGAATTATTTGCTAAGCCCTTGCAGTGGGGTTGGGAGGTGGAACTATCCTTCCCCTGGGAAATGTTCTTTACTATTTTGTTCAGTCCCAAGACAATAAATATCTTCTTGCAGTGTCTCTTATGATCAGGGATAAAAGGGCACAGGAATGGTTTGTCAGTATTCAGAAAGGAACATGAACCTCCTCCTTAGTTTGTAGGCTGCCTCTGAGACTGCCTTTCCCTCCCTGCACAGGATATGTGGATGCACACACAGCACTAACAACATTATACCATGGCTACAATTTTCTTTAGCCTATGTAAACAGCAGTTGCTAATATTCCCCATATACCGTAGGATACGCTAATTACACAGGGGACAGTACAGCACTCACCTGCCGTTCTTGGTCACAATCATCTCGTTAGTGACTTCTCTGAACCTCTGCCATAGCGCAGCCTCCTCCAAGACAACCTGGAGTTGTTTCTCGGTCGGGTCCCCTTTGTCTCTGCCAGCTTGGAGTTCGCTCTCCACGACATTCAGCAGCCTGGAGACAGTGCAGTCACTGGGCTTCTTACATCCCAAATCAGTCATGGTGTACTGTCAAAAACTTCTCAGCTGGCTTAAAAAAAACAAACAAACACTAAGCATACTTCAACCCAAGCCAATTAATTAGCCACACTAACAAATCTGCTCTCCCTGATCTTTGGCCATCAACTTGTTCCTCCCCCCTGGAAGTCCCAATGGGACAATGACACCAGTGTGTTAAGGTTGACACACATGCACATACAAAAAGAGGACTATCTCCTAATTACTCATCAAGTCAGGTGGGAGGCAGCCTGATTACGCAATTGGCTGCCTCAGAAGAAGAGTTCTCCATCCAAATTAATGGGCTTTTATCTTTTTTTCAATCTGAAGTGGGTCTAATTGTTCTGCTTGAGAACCAGGTTTCCATTAATGAAAATTGTTTAGTTTCCAGACTGAAACAATGCATGGAAATTGTGCTTGTGCTGATGCAAATCCCAGCTAGCAACATTCAAGATTGGGGTGGAGAGATGCTAGTCTTGCAAGCTTTCCATCAGAAATCACAGTGTGCTCACCCTGCTCCCCTTTTTCTTAAAAAAAAAAAAACCCAACAATCAAAGGCCCCTCTGCACTTAAATTTTGCCCACGTGGTCTTGTGCCTGGAAGACAATTTAGTGCATGTTCAAAATGTCAGGAGTCTAGGACAAGCCGCAGGTCAAATATATAGGATTTTTAAAAAGGTACAGTTCTCTTTTTGGAAAGTATACTAATAATTTCTGGTCACCCAAAAATGACATGACAGAGAACCTTACGCTTGTTTAATTCAATAGCCCTTGATGCGCCTTTATGCTTATGATTTTTTCTGAGAAGTTGGAAGGGCGTATTTTTGGAGTTATTCATTTCATTGTAAGAAACACATTCAGCCCCTGCACTGATAAAAGTCAGATGCACTTTATTACGAGCGTTAAGGGTCTGGCAGACTTCCAACAGTCTGCAGGATTCAATAAGGTCCATCAGACCTATGGCAGGTTTACGAAGTCCACCAGACTTTACAGGACAAGAAGTCTGATCAGTGTCATGCTCTTAAGCACAAAGGACTGGATTTTGCACCCTTTTGTGTTGAATAGTACCTCATTCTGCAAGTAGTCCCTTTGATTCCAGTCAGGGCCAGCTCCAGGGTTTCTGCCGCCCCAAGCAACTCTTCGGTGTCAGCTCAATCGCGCCGCTCCACTCTTTGGCAGAAGTTCAGCGGAGGTTCTTCACTCCATCTCTTCCTCTTCGGCGGGAACTCAAAGAGGAAGAGAGGGACCAAGGCACTCACCGCCGAATTCCCGCCGAAGACCCGGACGGGCCACCCTGATACCGGACGGAGTGCCGCCCCTTTCTATTGGCTGCCCCAAGCATCTGCTTCCTTAGCTGGTGCCTAGAGCCGGCCCTGATTCCAGTAGAGCCATGCATAGAATGAGGCTATTGGAATCTAGCCCCAAAGGAGTGGGGCTCCAGTCTTGCAAAGATATCATGCTGTACCAGACTGGAGAGACTTGTTTACACTAGAACAAATTAGGACTCTCAATTCCCAGCAGTGGTAGCAACAGAGGAAGCTGTAATTTAGACAAGGCTCCAATGTTTTTACCACTGTGCCACTTAGCCCTGCTATTTTCAAACCTTGGTTTTGTAAAGTATTTTGCTTCCTATAGATTCTTTTCAGCCTTAATGTACCACTCTCTGATCAGCTTTCCTGTGATAAAGAAGTGAGTTAGGTTACCCTGTCAGTTCCAAGAAGTCAGCTTCCTTTCTCAGTTGCAGTATTCGGGCCCATTCCTGCAATTAATAGTACCCACTATATCCTGATTTTCAGCATGCTGGATTTCTGCAATGCATGTTGAAGTCAATGGGATTTTGGGGTGCTCAGCCCCCTCTGAAAATCAAGCCAGGAGGTTTTTGATGAGATGGGTGGTGATGGGGGTTAGTGAATTTGTGTAGGGCAGGGTATTTCTAAATTAATATTTCGGCTGGTTGTTTCTGCTGCATGAAGAGGATACGTTGTTCTTTTTGTACGCACTGCACAATGTCAAATGTTGTAACAAGCACCTAGAGAACAGGGCATGTGGCTTTTAGTTGTTTATATATAAACATGGAAAAATACAATAAATAAATTAAAACTCGTTGAAATCTTTTGAAAATTCAATATTGATACGAAGTTTTTGTGAAAAATCATCAGTTTTTCAACTAGCTCTAAATAAATACATACAGATTTCCTGCCATTTTTTAAATGTATCTTTCTTATTTCACGCCAAGGAGATGAAATGCAAACATGATTGAGATGCAACCTTAATGTTAGGAATTCAGTTGCTCAGAACTCAGGAGTGTCAAAGTTGGGGACCTGCAGCAGTGGTGACCCAGCCACATAAGGACAGTATTATTTCTACAGCTGTAGTTTGGCATGTTCCTTTGATGGATAAAGACGACGACACAAGACTTGATGTTCAGAGACACTCACTCCACAGTTTGATGGGTTTGTTGTTTTTATTTTCTGCAACCATAACAGCTGGAGACTAATTTTTAAAAGGTAAAATAAAAGCTGGGACTCTGGAGGCTAACTGAGAGGTTTGTCTGTCCCACTTCAACCCCTCCAACTAGTCAGGGAGGGACACGCCCTGCATTTTGGAAAATGCGGATGATTCAATAACCCCAAAACCCTATTAATTCAGCTATAAGACTGAGATTCTACTTGTGCAAATGTCTGGACAGTTGAGCAACTGAAGTGTATTTCCCTTTGCTGACATTTTCAAATGTGGGTACTAAAAGTTTGGCACCTCGATCAATCTTGAGGATCCGTTTAAAGTGCTTGCTATGGAAGTGTTCAGCACCCCCAACTTCTGTTGTTTTCACTGGAAGTGTTGGATGCTGAAGACCTCAGAAAATCAGGCCACTGGTTTAGTTGGCCTTTATGGATCTAGGTGCTGGCTCTAGGCATCTGAGTTTGCATTACTGTATGTGGTGCTCACTTTAATATAACACACCAAAGAAAGTTGCTCAAACTAACTTGCTGCATCCAAAAACAAATCAAAACAAAAAACCAACCCATCCTCCTGCCTCCTGGATTGTTCCAGTGTCACAAATAAGCCTGCTAAACATTAATCAAGTCCATCATCTGCCTGTGATCAGCAAATAACTGGCCTCTAGGGATTCAGCGACAGTATCCCCTACTGCTGTCCTGCTTCCTTCCCTTTCCAACCACTGTGGTCTGTTGTTTTTGTGTGTACAATGATTTGCCTTGAGATCTGAGCAACTTGATGCTGAGAGTTTGGATCTGATTTTCAGAGGTGCAGCTGCCAATCCGGTTGAAATCAGTGGGACTGATGGGCAGTGGGGCTCCAGCATCCTGTAAGGGAGGCAAGAGTAATGCTTCGAACAAAGAACAACATTGGCCATTCTGTTCTAGAGCCCCTTGTCACCAGTCATTATCCCATGAAAACAGCTTTGAGGCCAAAATGTTTCAGACCATAGCTCTGCCCAATGAATAATTTGATTGTTTATCAGCGAAGTTGGAACTAAATGGATCTAAATCTATGTGAATTATTGAAATGGCAAAAATGCTCATTTTGTTCAAATAATTGGTCAGCTGGGTTTTTGGATGCGAGCTAACGTGGCTCATTTTTAAACTGACTAGATAGTGACTCGTGCTCAGTGTGATAGGCCATCCTAAACGTGGTGATCTGCACTGGTCACTATTCTAGGTTTGGAAAAAAAACAAACACCTGAAGACATATCTAGGCTGCATGCCAAAAATATAGCAGACAGAGCACTCATGCCAGAGATTATCAGTTTAAAATCCGTATCTCAGGCCTCATCTTGCTCCAGCTTCTTCATGCTTTACAATACCTTCATGTCTCAAGACCCACTTTATAAAGCCTTTCAGGGAAGACACAAACATCTGCATGACCAACTGCCCAGATGGAATGAGTTGTAGGCCAGGAAGCAGATAATAAACTAGTAGGCAGGGTTGTTTGGGGAAATTTAACTTTGTCTTTCCACTTTTTTTTTTTTAAATGAAACCTTCATTTTGGATTTCCAGGCTGCTGGGGAGTCAGAGGCTGAGCGTAGGAATTCCTGGCTCCCTGACCTGTTCCCAAACCTCTCCTGAGTCTTATTTCCGTTTGGGGGGGTCCGCGATAGCTCAGTGGTTTTGCGCATTGGCCTGCTAAACCCAGGGTTGAGAGTTCAATCCTTGAGGGGGCCATTTAGAGATGTGGGACAAAAAAAAATAGTTGGGGATTGGTCCTGCTTTGAGCAGGGGATTGGACTAGATGATCTCCTGAGATCCCTTTCACCCCTGGAAATCTATGAAAATGGCCCCAAGCCTGGTATTTGCTTCTATATGAAGCTTCCTTGGTAAAGGAACACAGAACACTGGTTATTTGTGTTCGCCAATCATTAAAAACATAAAACTGGTCAACTCCATCTTCCTCATGTAGTCGTAGGGAAAGGAGGGCTGCAGGAGTGACAGTCATACACTTTTTGCATTTACTTCCTGTAAATACTTCAATGCACAAATTTACTACCAGAGATATTTGGCAAAACAATGAATATGCACAAAAAGCTAATATTTAGCTTATAAATTGGAGTCTGTATTGAAAACCCAATTCTAGGAGTTATACTCATCCAACCAGGGAGCAGAAACAGTATCGTGTGACTTGCATCCAATAAAAACTAACCAATGCAGCTCAAATGTCAAATTATTGGACAATCCTAGTGAACAGCTAATGCCAAATCCAAAATGTATTTATATAATTATTTGGTGAATAATTTTAAATGAATAGACCCAAGAAAGTCAGGAAAAACAGCAAAGGGGAAAGAGAGGCTAAATCCAATTTAAAAAAAAAAGAAAAAAAGACATTCACTAGGACTTCTTTTTTGCTGAGCTCCAACAATGAGCATGCTCACCTAGGCATTGCTTGGATTATTTCTTTGACTGTCTGATTAAACTCAAACCCTTTTTGGCCAACAGCTGCTGAGACATAGAAGGAAAAAAAAATAATTAACCAGGCTTGCTCTCCATCTGACAT